ATCACATAGTCTTTTGTGGGTCACACCCTGGGTCTCAGAAAACATTGCCCCCCAGGGTGGTACAAAATGTCCCCTGTGTTTTTCTTCCAGAAGGCTTATAGTTTTACATTTTACATTTATCTCTCGGATTCATTTTGAATTCATTTTTATGTGTGATGTGAGGTGAGAGTCAAGGATTTTTTTTGTTTTTTATTTTTCAAACACATACCCTGTTGTCCCAGCACCTTTGTTGAAAAGACGATCATTTTTCTATTGAAATGACTTGGTTACTTTGTCAAAAATCAATTGACTGCACAAAGTGTGGGGTGATTCGGGCCTTGGTGTTCTGTTACATCGATCTTTTATATTTATATCATACTGTCTTGATTCCACTGGGGATCAGAGAAAATACCTAGCATGATTTCAATTGTCTTAAACTTACTGAAACATTTTATTTATTTTATTCTTTAAAAAACCAATTTATTTCTGAGAGAAAGAGAGAGAATGCATGAGAGGGCCAGAGGGAGAGAGAGATCTTAAGCAGACTCCTTGCTGAGCGCGGAGCTGAGATCGTGACCTGAGTTGAAACTGAGAGTTGGATGCTTAACCAACTGTGCCCCCAGGTGACCCCCCTTTTTTTATAAACTTACCAAGACAAATAGTCTATTTTGGTGAATGTCTTGTGTACGTGGGAGGAATGTGTATGCGGCTGTCAGCAGGTGGACGGGTCTCCAACTGCCAGTTTGGTCTCACTGAGTCCCAGGTGGTTCACCTGTTCTTGCCTGTCCTATTTTGTACCCAAGGGAGTGTTGGGCTCTCCTGTTATCACCTGGATTTAAGTGTCCTGTCAGTGTCGCCACTTTTCTGTTTTAACCTCTGTTATTAGGTGTATACAGACATAAATTTATTGTGTTTTTTTATTTTAAAAAGGGTTATATATTTGAGAGAGAGTGCACAGTGGGGAGGGGCACAGGCAGAGGGACAGAGTCTCAGACTCTGTAAACAGTGTGGAGCCTGACACAGAACTCCATCTCAGGACCCTAAGAGCACGACCTGAGCTGAAACCAAGAGTCTGACGCTTAGCCGACTGAGCCACCTAGGTCCCCCAATCCCTTTTATCATTATAAAATGTTAGGATAGTTAGTGCATGGTGTATACTTTTCTTTCCTTTCACTTGACCTATCTATATCTTTACATTTATAGACCATTTCCTATGAAGAACGTAAGAATAGGTTTTGCCTCTTTAAATCACCTCTGACAATCTCTCTCTTTTGATTGGAATTTTAAGTCCCTATATAGTTAATGTGATTGTCAACATGATTGATTGAAATCCCACCATCTTGCTGATGGCTTTCTATTTTATCCTTGTTCCTCTCTCCTTCTTTGCTTACCATGTTTTGGGATTAATTAAATTCATTTACACATATATAACTATTCAGGAATACACATTTTATATATGGATATACATACATGTATTATGTGTGCTTACAGATAATGTGTGTTTAGGGTTCCATCCCATTCCCACTGTTGGCTTATCAGCTCTGCCACTTCTTCAGTGGCTCCTTTATGGCTAATACTAGGGACTCTGCACCTATCGCAGTATACTGCCTCGCATGTAAGGTAAGAACCTTACAACTTTATGGCAACTTCTATCCCCTCAACCCCATCCTCCAAATTATACTCTTCATAGCTTTACTTCTACACATGGTAAATTTTACATTTTGTTACTTTTGTTTTGTGCAATTAATTCCATTTTTCTTTCACAGCGTAATAGAGGGATACTTTATATACCATAAAACCCCCCATCGTGAATGTGCAGTTCAGTCATTCTTAGTAACTTCATGAAGTTGTGTGACCATCAGCACGATGCACTTCTGGGACATTCCCATCTCCCCAGATTCCCCTGGGCCTGTTTATGGTTCACGCCTGCGCCCTGCTGTAACCCTAGTGACATTTACTTCCTTCTGGTAAAATACAAAAACTTCGACCCAACATACGTGCTTTCCTCCCCCTCCGTCTTGCTGTACTTGCTGCAGTCATCACGTACGGAACGCATCTATATGTGTGGCAATCCCAACGAGAGGGCCCTGGGATGACTGCCTTCCCTGGGGAGCGGAAAGACTGGCTTGTGCACTGAACCCTGCCCACTGCTTGTTTGGGGAGTTAAGTCTGTTGCAACGGTCACATGGCTTATTTTCGTCGCCACAGCCACTCCTTGGCCACAGTTCACGTGGCCTGCAAACCCTAAGCTACCTACTCTCTGGCCATCTACAGGAAAACTTTGCCAACCCTTGCCTCCTACAACCTCGTGTCTTTTAAAGAAGAGAAGACATGGACAGAGGGAAAATGTGTATTTGTAGTGTCTGATGCTCGCTCACGTGTGCGGCATTTTCCACATTCTCTGTGTCCTCCCTGCGGACTCGAGTTAGCGTCCAGCAACCGCGCCTTTTCTTCAACGCTGCTGGTGTGGCAGACGCCCCAGCAATGGATTCTCCAGTCTTTACTCATTTGCGTATGCCTTCGTTTGCCTTTCTTTGTGCCAGATGGTTTGCTAGACCCAGACGCCTAGCTTCCCCGTGTTTTCCCTTCAGCACTATGAGGGTGTCCTTCTGGCCCCCGTGGCCCCCAGGGCACCAGGGGCTGATTGGGCCATCCTGCCCTTACTGTGTGGCTCTTGTTTCCCTTGTTGCTTTGAAAATTTTCCCCTCTCTCCTCCATTCAGACTGTGATGGGTCGGGTCTGGATCCCGCTGCCATGGCTTCCAGCCGCCTTCCTCCTCTCTCCCTCCCTGTCCCCACCCGTCCCCCCTCTCTCTCCCGGAGACCCAGGCCACTTGAGTGCTGATGGGCTGAATGTGCACAGCTCTCAGGCACTGCCACTTCCTTCAATCTTTATTCCTCTGTTCTCGAAATGGGTTAATTTCTATTAATTTACAAGTTTTACGATGCTTTCTCCAGGAGTGTCAGTTCTGCTACTGAGTCTCTGTAGTACATTTTCAACTCCAGAATTTCCATGTAGCCCTTTTACAATTTCTGTTTCTTTATGACAACCTCCCTTCGCTCAGCCACAGCATTTTCCATCTCGAGTCTTGAAGTCGGCGCCCGGTCCCTCCTCCCTGGGCGTTCGGAAACTTGCCTTGGGTGACCCTGTGCCCCAGAACAGATCGGATGCTCTTTTTGCTCCACACTCTTGTAAGTTCCGGCTGGATGCTGGACATTGTGGGGGAGCTGTCGCGGCGTCTTTGGATTCCGGCCCTCGGGGTGGTGAGTGTTGTTTCTCTGTGTGTGCTTAGTGACTCTCCTGGACTGGATCTGTGAAGGCCGCCTGGCCTGAGCTGCCCTCGTGCGGGCTCACTGCCACCCAGCCTGGCGTCACAGCCTGCCCAGCCCTGCACGTGCTCTCAGACCCAACATCCAGAATGGGGTGATGCGTGCACCAACACGGCGCAGGGATGGACACGCCTGGCCCCGCCCCGCCTCCGCCATCTGGGCTCTTGGCCCGCATGGCCCCCTGACTCGGCCTCTCTCTTCACAGTGTCCGGACGGCAGCTGCAGCCTGAGGAGCCGGAGGCCGAAACGGAAGACGACCCCTCAGTAAGTGAGGCCTGGAGGATACCTGCCCGCCCCGCGCAGCCCCGCTCAGACCCCAGGAGGCTGAGGGCCGCCTGCTTTCTCTCTGTTGCCAGGTGACCGAAGGGCCCGTGGACGAGATCATTCGGCCACGGCCACAGGGGTCCTCCCCCGTGTATGAATACGCAGCTGAGGGTACCAGCTTTGGACTCCCGGTAAGCTTGCGGGACAGAGACCCACGGGCCGAGGGGGCGTGCAGGTGTGGGGCCGTGGGTGGCCACGTCTCCTTCACCACTGTGTGAACAACTCCCTCCCGTTGGTGCAGCCACGCGGCCCTGACCTGCTGCCTACTAGGCCACGGTTATGCCCATTCTGCCATCCTCTCTGACTGTCCTGTGCCCGGAACCCCTCCCTTCAGCGGGCCAGGACGTGGCTGAGACTGTGCACGCGTGTGCACGTGTGGGAAAGAGAGGCTGTGCTCTGGATGTGTGCGTACGTGGGTTGTCCCTGGAGAGGGCCTGGGGACGGGTGGGAGCAGGACTATTTCCTAAAAGACAGGTTCTTGCTGTGTCTCCTTACCCTGCACACACAACCCCAGTCCTGGGGGTCTGCCCTGGAGGTGGGGGGTCAGCCCGGTCAGGCAGCGCCAGGGCAAAGAGTCACCCCCCTCTGCCCCGTCCCCCAAGCCATGAGATCAGCTCCCCTGGAAAACAGCACTGCTCTGGGGCCTCCTGGTCTCCTGAGTCCCTCCCGTGCCCGGGGCTTGGACAGGTGCATGACCTCTGGCCTCTGTGGCTGCAGGAGGACACACCCAGGCAGCGGGCTTCCTCGGGCTCTGGGGGACGGAGGTCCTGGTGGAAGCGAGATTCAGGGGACTCACGGACATTCTCCAGAATGAGTCGACCACAGGTGAGTGTGGCAGGACCTGAGGGTCAGAAAGGTGGTCTCTCTGCACGGGCCCCAGCTTGGGGGAGGCAGGGCTGGGGTGGAGCCAGGGAAGAGGCAAGGAGGCCAGGGATGGGCCTGTTGGGGAGGCGGGAGCTCCAGAGGATGGACAAGGCTTTGGCCACCGTGCAGGCAGGAGGCCCTCGGCTTCGCTCCCTGCGCCCGCTGGGCCTAGAGAGCAGCTCCCGCGAGCTGGCAGCTGGGGTGGAGATCAGAGGAGGCCGCCCCCGCCGGAGGTGGCTAGCAGCTGGCTCCCTCCGAGGCCCGGACACTACAGCCCCGGCCCTGGCTGGGGGCCCTAAGCTTGCCTCATGCCACCTGGAGGGTGCACAGGACTCTGAGGTCTCTGTGCTCAGGGAGGGTCGGCCCCCAGCTCTGAGGCCCATGGTGGCATAGGCAGAAGTGCACCACGGCCCTGATGTGCTTGTGCTCCGGTCTGTGCAGGAGGCGACAGAGGTGACGCTGACCACCGAGGTGGAAGCCGGAGCCAGCGGCTACAGCGTCACAGGGGGCGGGCACCAGGGCATTTTTGTGAAGCAGGTGCTGAAGGACTCGTCAGCGGCCAAGCTCTTCAGCCTGAGAGAAGGTGCCTCAACTGCCCCTCCCTGGGCCCCCCATGGTCTCCCTGAGGATGGAGGGACTCGGAGGAAAATGGGCCGTACCTGGTGCTCAGGACGGCCCTGCTGAGACGGCTTGGCCACCTCCAGGCCGGGGCTGCCACCGTGCAGGGCGGGGTGGCCTCCCACCCACGTGGGGCTCTGCGGAGGGGGTGCGGGGCTCCTGCTCTGGGGCCTGCCACCTGGCCCGGTGGACGCGTCTCTTGGGGTCGTGGCGAGACTGGGGACCAACCCGAGGCTCTGTCTGTCCAGGGGACCAGCTGCTCAGTGCCACCGTGTTCTTCGACAACATTAAGTATGAAGACGCTCTCAAAATCCTGCAGTACTCGGAGCCCTACAGGGTTCAGTTCCAAGTCAGACGGAAACGTCCCACCCCAGACGACGAGGACGCGGCCGCCAGGGGGGCTCAGCCTGGCACGAAGGACAGGGAGAAGCAGGTGAGGCACTGCAGCCCGGGAGGCCGAGCCCCACTGAGCTCCCCACCTGCAGGGCTGAGGCCGAGGTGGGGGTCCCACACCACCCTCTTGTCTCCCCTGAGCCCCGGGGCTCAGCTGTCTGGTCCCAGCACCTGCAAGTTCACGCTCCTTGTCTTTCAGGACAAAGATGTGGCCGACAGTTCCACAGAGACCCCCCCACAGACCCTGGAAGGAAGCGGAGACCAGGAGAGACTGCTCGCCAAGCCCAGGGGCGGCAGAGGCAGGCGGGCCCAGAAGGAGAGGCTATCCTGGCCCAAGTTCCAGTCCGTAACGAGCAAGTGCAGACCAGGACCGCGGAGGTCCCACAGTTCCTCCGAGGCCGATGCGCGCGGGGAAACCGCCAACGTATCCCCCAACAGCACAGACACGGAAGCCGCGCTCCCAGCGGAGGAGCAGGAGCCGAAGGCAGGACCGGACGGTCCGCGCAGGAAGAGGTTCCTGAGCCTGAGATTCAGGATGGGCTCAGGGAAGGGCCCGACGCTGGAGGAGCAGCCCAGCCGAGGGGGCCCGGGGGGAGCGCTCCAGGCCGGGGTCGGAGAGGAGGCCGGGTCCGGGGAGGACAGACAACAGGCCGCCCAGGCCACTGTGCTCAGCAGGACAGAGGACCGGATGGCAGAGGGACCGGAGGGGACACCTGCTCTGATGGCAGAGCTGCCCATAGAGCCTGGTACCCCCACCCTGGGAGCTCTGGGGGAAGGGGCCAGCGTGGCGTCCTGGGGCCGAAAACAAACAAAGGAGGCAAAGGACCAGGAGGACGCTGTGTCCGAGGGCAGGCCTGGGGCGAGCTCAGCCGCACACGGTGTGGACGACCGCAAACAGGCGGCCCGGGACACAGAAGTGGGGATTGCTGGATCCGCTGGGCAAGGCGAAGGAGATGCACGGGGCCTCCACGCAGATTTCCATATCCAAATCCAAAACTTACAAACACCCATGTTTAAAGTTTCCAAACAAAGAAAGCACGACCCAGAAGGAGGCCTAGCGCCGGTGCCAGACGACAAGAGGGGAAGGACCACGGAAGACAGGGAACGGGGACCTGAGCCGGCAGCTCCCAGGAAGCCCTCGGGGCACTTGCCACAAGGCGAGGTAGAAGGAGCAGAGGGAGCTGAGGCAGGTCACGCAGTAAGAGAGATGAAGGAGAGGGACAAAGACAAAGGAGGGAGGGAGGACAGGAGGACAGTGCTGAAGTTCAACATTGCCTCCTTTGGGTGGTCGCCCAGAAAAGAAGTGAGAGCTGCGTCGGAAAGACCCAAAAAGGACCTGGACCAGGAGAAAGGAGGAACGGGAACAGAGTGGACCCTGGAGACAGAAGACAAAGACACACTGGGAGAAAAACAAGAAGAAAAATTACACACCGAACGGGGACAGCCAACAGCAACAGAGGCACAAAGACAGAAGAAAGGGGAGGTGACCG